CAGATAGACAGACAGACAGACAGACAGATAGCAAATAGACAAGGAATCAGGCTAGATTACGAAGTGCTCGTACACAACCATATTTGGTTTCACGGAGAGTGACGGTTGATGGAGCCAGTTGCTCGGGTCACCGAAGTTTGCAATCATAAAACTGTGCAACTATCGATTCGGCCTATCGACGATAAACATTATTATTATTATTATGATTATTATTTGCTTTTAGACTTCAGAAAATATGTATGACTCTAAAGCCCAGTTCATGCAACTTCCCCCTCATAGCCCGGATCTCAATGTGATTGCAAATCTGTTTTCTGTTTTGAGGAAAGAGGTCAATGTGCTACCTGTATTTTGAACATTGGAGGCAAAAGTGTGCTACGTAATGGAGCACAACATAGAAAATGACTTCTTAACAAAGTCGGTGGATTCGATGCTAAAGAGACTCCAAAAAGTCCCTAAAGAACAAAGGCAGAACAATCGTCTATTAGTGTACACAAACTTTACAGCTCAGTTATTATCGATGTTAATTTGTTGTAAACTGTTCCATTCTCTTTAGTTACCTCTTAATTTATCATGTTCTATGTCGACCACTACTGACGAAATGGGAGTTTCCGCTACATTCTGAATCATTCCATCATTCCATCTGCTAAGTATAAATGAATCAGAAAAATCAATGATATAAAAACTCACTAAGGCTTGTTTATTATTATTTGGGAAAAATTTCCTTCATTATAAATGTTGTTGTCTATACGAACCCACAAGTGTTTCACAGGAATCTGTTGCTTCAGTTTCGATTAGATCTGTACATTGAAAATTTCTCGACCGCCCAGTGCGATGGATCACATCTAACACAGCGTTTACCTTTGCCTCTTCATTTTATAAGGGTTTTCAGTACATTGTGTTTAACTGATCATCCATATCATGAAATGACCCGTCATGTACAGATTCATGTTTAAATTCATTCAAATACGTGTCAGACACAAAGCTCTTTCGCCAACCTCCGCCACAAGCATTTCTTACCCTTCAGTGATCGCAATACACCATGCCATGAGACGTTCATCTTGTCCGATCAGCCATCGATCCAAGCATGGAGTTCGTACACTAAGCACCGATGGGGTTTGTGCTGGACCACTTGGCGTGCCGGTCCAACTGCGTCGAGTCAGTGTTGATCCGGAAGAGCTGATTGAGCCCATCAGATTTGTTTGCGGACCGGTTCCAGCTCGCACAGCCACAATGAAGATCCACAAAGCATCCAGGGCCAGTATGAGAAGACTGTGAAATAAACTGCTCGATTCGAGAGATGTGTCACGCAATTGGCTCTCACTATCCCAAGCCTGTCTCGAACTGATCTCCGACACGGCTGTCTGGATTACTGCGGAGACTTCCGGCTAGAGAAATTTGTGTGTACCGACAGGGACAAAAAAGTGCGCAACTTTTATAACTATATGAATCGAAGAGAGATTAACATAATCATATCATCCAATACATTTGCTCCTTTGGGAGTACTCAAACGTAGGAGTGGTTTCAAATTCAGCCGAGTTCACTTCGATTTCAAACAATCATTAGCATAGGTGGCATCCATGCACGTGGGCTCGAATCCCACCCAGGCTAATGAAATTTTCACAATTTCAACATAAGACTTCAATCTCCCAAACAACAATATGAACAACTCTTAAAGTACAAATATGAACAATTGACCTTGTGTTGGAAGTTCATTCGGTGGACTCCGGAAACCTGTCGTGGCAGTCAGCTTACATGCTAACTGGTGGATGCCATATACCTTGGTTAATTGGATGGGTGATTCAAATTTGAAAAGGTCAGTGCTATCAGTGTGGTCTCGCAACGGAGTTGGTAGGAAAAAGTGTACGCAGTGACCATGCGCATGGGTTCGAATCCCACCCAGGCTACTGAACTTTTCCCACAATTTCAAAATTAGAGTTCATTCTGCCAAACAACAATTTGAACATTCAAATCACATTGTTCACAGAATTCGTTTGTGGAAAGCTGTCTCGAAGGCTCAATTTTCGTCTCATGAAGTACTTGCGTTTTTGCGACGGGGTAGTTGAACTTAGTGTCATCATGGGGGCGTAGCCACCGATACCAATGAGACAATGACCCTCACCAGCACTACCTCAGTGTATTGTTACGTCACTGAACAAGCGGGAGCAGTCGTGTGTATGGGATCTATCCGGTCAAGCGGTATCCCTCAGAGCAGAAAGCTATTCAGTTATCCAGTGAGATCACTGTTGGCAGTAATAAGTAAGTTTCAAGATTTTTTCCAGTGGTATTTCACTTGATTTTCCATTTGGTAGCTGATGTTTAGCCTGATTGATCCAAGGAGATAGCGCTTCAAATTTATAACCCTTTCCCCGGCCCCCCTTTCTTGTCAATGCTCGCAACCGAGCAGATTTGGTGGATTAGGACTGAATCTGAATGGTTTTTCCCGAGAACAATCCTCTTCGTGTGTGAGATCCCATTTTTTTTGTATGAGCCTTAATCTCAACTCTCGTCCCCTTTATGCTGTGCAATTCGCTCAACAACAGCGGCAATAGTCAACTTGTCTTTTACCCGAACGCATATTGATTGAGCAGGATTGTCAGAGGCCCGTACGGAAACCAATCCATGTTCACCATTCCGTGCACGCGTTCGAAACCAAACAAAAACAATCTGTACAAAATTTCCTGGAACAAGGTCATAAATAGCAATGCTCAATTTTGTGGTTGTTTTGACTTGTACTTGTGTGTTTTCACTCTACGAATTCTGTGGTTCGCAGTAATATGAAGGTAGAAGACTGTTGGACATCACTCAGGGGACACAACAGCATTGTCCACTAAATTTGATATCTCAGTCCTCTGAACAATTATGCAAACTATTTTCTGGATGAACGATGACTACAACCAAACTGTCGATTCCCACTGGATACGAACTCGGAGATGAATCATATTGATGACGAGGGTAAACGATTGATAATTCTTTTTGGTAACTCTTTTTTTGGGTGTCACCAACTTATTTTTCTTGGGGTGAATTCGACCTGGTTGACTTCTCATCAGATGCAGTTGCGAATGCATGTATCAAACTGGGTGTCGAACCCGAGACCTCATGCGCAGAACGCAAGCATTCTATCCATTCAGCTCCCGGGCAGCTGATCAGATCATCTTTCATTGTACACGATGGATTCGCAGCACTAATGAGACCCAGCCAGGTCGAAAATACTGTACCGTGCGTGTTTGTCAGTTCACGCTTGATTTGCTCTGTACACAACGAATTCCTTCTATGAAAGTGAATCAAATCATGCAATACGCCCAAGCAATAACCTGGGTCATCATCTTTCTGTCATGTTTTGAGTGATTCCATGCAGTTTTGTTTGGCGCAACCCCGCAAAAGTCAAGTGACCCTAACTTAATTGGTCACACTGAGTGAATGGTGCGGCATCCAAAGATGGAATTCCTGTG